AGGTTTGGGGGAGGATAGAATGTGGACGATGGGATTTGCAGTCCCTTCCCCTGCCTCCAGGGACCACTGAAACCCCACCACTGATGGACCCAGAGTCAGGCTCCCAATGACCCACTTTACATCTAGTTGAGCCTTGGGGGAGGGTGGAACATGGATGATAGGACTTGCAGTACTTTCACCCCCGTCAGCAGACGGGTGTGACCCCCACGTATGACTGACTTGGGGCATAGACCCCTGATGGCCAACTGAATATACTGGAGGGATTTGGGGGGAATTGCCATTCATTTCGGGAGTTGCAGCTCACCCACACCCAAAGAAACTGTGAGTGCCCCCCCCCCCTGACAATGGACTGGACTTAAACTGGGGACACGTAACCCTCATGACCAACTGAGCATACTGGAGGGGTTTGGGAGGGAACTGGCCTTGATTTTTGGGAGTTGTAGTTCCCGTGCATCCAAAGAAACAGTAACTGCCCCCCTGCCCTGAGAATGGACCAAGAACAAACTTGGCACGCAGAACCCCATGAGCAACTGAACATACTGGGGTGTGTGTGTGGGGGGGGGGGGGAATTGCCTCCAGTCTCACCAGTGCCCCCACCCCCAGCACCAACCACTGCTCTGAGATCAGAGTGCGGAGAGGGTCCAGGAAGGCCGTCCCGTCTTGTCTCCTGCACTGAGCTTATAATACAATACAATACAATATATTGCACATACATATAACATTGATAATACTATATTGTAATACAATATAATACTACTACTAATAATAATATGATATTAAAATTATTTATTTCATATTAAATGTAATATTACTAATAACATTACAATACAACGTTATAGTACAATCTATCTATATATATTGTCGAAGGCTTTCATGGCTGGAATCACTAGGTTCTTGTAGGTTTTTTCGGGCTATAGGATATATTTATATCTATATATAAATGCTCTGTGCATAATGAGTACCTTAAAAGCAAAAGAACCAATGAACGAAATCACACCAAATTTGGCAACAAAACGTCTCATGACACAAGGAGTGACCATCACTCAAAAAATGATGATGTTGTCATTTGGGAGTTGTAATTGCTGGGATTTATAGTTCACCTACAATCAAAGAGCTTTCTGAGCTCCACCAACAATGGGATTGAACGAAACTTGGCACACAGAACTCCCATGAACAACAGAAAACACTAGAGTTTGAGAGTTGTAGTTCACCTACATCCAGAGACACTGTGGACTCAAACAATGATGGATCTGGACCAAACCTGATACGACTATTCCATATGTCCAAACATGAATACAGATGGAGTTTGGGGGAAATTGACCTTGACATTTGGGAGTTGTAGTAACTGGGATTTATAGTTCACCTACAATCAAAGAGCATTCCGAACCACACCAACGAGAGAATTGGGCCAAACTTTCCACAAAGAACTCCCATGACCCAACAGAAATGCTGCCTGAAGGCCATCCAGTCCAACTCCCTTCTTCACCAGGGCAAGAAAACATAACCAAAGCCCTCCTGACAAAGAGCCATCCAGCCATAGAGAGAGATATATATTATTCACACAGAGAGAGATATAGTATCATAGATTTGAAAGGGACCCCTAAAACAGGACAATTATCTGTTGCATGTTCCAGAGTGGTCAAACCAGGCACTCTCCACATCAACACTGACAAAGAAACAGCAAGAAATCCTGTTGACCCACAAGCAGAAAGGGATCACATAGATTAGAAACCAACACTTTCTCATGACTTTATTTTCCAGATCACTAGACGGGGCCACAGCAAAGCGTGGCAGGGGACAGCTAGTGTAATATAGAATATTAATATTGTGGTATGGGAATAATATAATACATTGCATTGACTTGTTACTTGTCAGCCGCTCCGAGTCCACTTCGGGGTGAGAAGGGCGGCACAGAAAGGTTGTCCACAAACAAACAAACAAACAAACAAACAAACAAATTGCCATTCACCCGCACCCAGAGAAACTGGGACCTCCCCACCACCACCACCACCAACAATGGACCGGACTTAGACTTGGCACAGAGAACCCTCCTGACCAACTGAGCCTACTGGAGGGGTTTGGGAGGGAACTGACCTTGGTTTTTGGGAGTTGTAGTTCACTGGCATCCCGAGAAACGGTGGCGGGAGAGGGAGAGCGAGGGGGAAGGGTCTGGCTTGGTTGTCCTGCCACTCCCAGAATGCAAGGCCAGGCCTGCCATCCCCCCCCCCCCCCCCCCCCCCCCCGATGACCAGCTGAATATATTGGAGGCATTTGGGGGAACTGCCATTCGTTTTGGGCCATTCACTGAGAGAAACTGTGACCTGTCCTAGAATTGTAGAGTGGGAAGAGACCTCCTGGGCCCTCATCCAGTCCAACCCCATTCTGCCAAGAAGCAGGAAAGTTGCATTCAAAGCACCCCCGACAGATGGCCATCCAGCCTCTGTTTAAAAGCCTCGAAAGGAGGAGACTCCACCACACTCCCTCCGGGGCAGAGAGTTCCACTGCTGAACGGCTCTCACAGTCAGGAGGTTCTTCCTCATGTTCAGGTGGAATCTCCTCTCTTGTTGTTTGAAGCCATTGTTCCCTTGCGTCCTAGTCTCCAGGGAAGCAGAAAGGAAGCTTGCTCCCTCCTCCTCTCTGTGACTTCCCCGCACATATTTATACATGGCTCTCATCTTGTCTCCTCTCAGCCTTCTCTTCTTCAGGCTAAACATGCCTAGCTCTTTAAGCCGCTCCTCATAGGGCTTGTTCTCCAGACCATTGATCCTTTGAGTCGCCCTCTTCCTCTGGACACATTCCAGCTTAGAGTCAACATCTCTCTTGAATTGTGGTGCCCAGAATTGGACACAATATTCCAGGTAAAGTGATCTAACCAAAGCAGAATAGAGCATGGGGAGCAGGACTTGCCTGGACCTAGACACTATGGTTGCCCCCTCCCCCTCCTCCTGTGGCTTCCTCTCACGTATTTATATGAGAAATGTCAGAACTCCTCCCTCAGTTCACCCACACCCAGAGAAGCAGAGAGTGCCCCCTCCCCTGACCAACTGGGCATACTGGGGTGGGGGATGGGCGGTGTGAGCATGCATTCTGGGAGATGTAGTTCACCTACATCAGAACACAGCCAGTGGGGGGGATTGCCATTCAGTAGAACCCGGAGAATCTGTGACCTGCCCCCCCCCCCCAAAGACTTAGTACAGAGAACCCTCCTGACCAATGGAGCATACTGGAGGGAAGTGGCCTTGATTCCTGAGAGTTGTAGTTCAACTGGCAACCCGAGAAACGGTGGCGAGAGGGAAGGGCCTGGTACGTTAACACATGTTGTGAACCGGTCCGAATCCCTCTTTGAAGGTGAGAGGGTCGGTATATAAAACCTCAAAATAAATAAATAAATAATTGTCCTCTGAGAAGTTGGTGGAAGGCCTTCCAGAATGCAAGGCCAGGCCTGCCATCACCCCCCCCCCCACACACACACACACACAGACACACCATGCCCCCTCCAGGCCTCCTGAGACCCGCCCTGTCTGCTCGGCTTGGAAGGGGGCTTTGACAGGGAAGGCGGGGAGGGGGAGCAACTGACCTCCTTCCCTTTAGGTTCTTGTAGGTTTTTCCGGGCTATAGGGCCATGTTCTAGAGGCATTTCTCCTGACGTTTCGCCTGCATCTATGGCAAGCATCCTCAGAGGTAGTGAGGTCTGTTGGAACTAGGAAAAGGGGTTTATATATCTGTGGAATGGCTGGGGTGGGGCAAAGAGCTCTTCTCTGCTGGAGCTAGGTGTGAATGTTTCAGCTGACCACCCTCATTAGCATTTGAAGGCCTGGCTGAGCCTGGGAAATTTCTGTTGAGAGGTGTTAAGATGTGCCTGATTGTTTCCTCTCTGCTGTTTTGCTGTTGTAATTTTAGAGTTTTTTAATACTGGTAGCCAGATTTTGTTCATTTTCATGGTTTCCTCCTTTCTGTTGAAATTGTCCACATGCTTGTGGATTTCAATGGCTTCTCTGTGTAGTCTGACATGGTGGTTGTTGGTGTGGTCCAGCATTTCTGTGTTCTCAAATAATATGCTGTGTCCAGGTTGGTTCATCAGGTGCTCTGCTATGGCTGACTTCTCTGGTTGAAGTAGTCTGCAGGCACTGTTCCTGTTCCTTGACTTGTGTCTGGGCAATGCTGCTGCGTGTGGTGGTCCCTCTGGAGACTTCTTGTCCACAGCAGCATGGTATACAATGGTAGACTCCTGCAGAGGTGAGAGGATCCCTCTTGTCCTTTGCTGAACGTAGCATTTGTTGGATTTTCTTGGTGGGTTTGTAGGTTGTTTGTATGTTGTGTTTCCTCATCAGCTTCCCTCTGCGGTCAGTGGTTCCCTTGATGTCTGGCAGGAACACTTTCCCTCTGGGTGGATCTTCATCTTGACTCTCGTGGCTTCCTCTTGGTGGTCTTGCAGCTCTAGCAGAGAGCTCCTTGCCCCACCCCAGCCATTCCACAGATATATAAACCCATTTTCCTACTTCCAACAGACCTCACTACCTCTGAGGATGCTTGCCATAGCTGCAGGTGAAACGTCAGGAGAGAATGCCTCTAGACCATGGCCATACAGCCCGAAAAACAACTACAACAACCCATTCCCACCTAGCTCCAGCAGACAAGAGTCCTTTGTCCGACACTGGTCATTCCACAGATATATAAACCCTTTTTCCTACTTCCAACAGACCTCACTACCTCTGAGGATGCTTGCCATAGATGCAGGCGAAACGTCAGGAGAGAATGCCTCCAGAACATGGCCCTATAGCCCGAAAAAACCCACAAGAACCGAGTGATTGCAGCCATGAAAGCCTTCGACAAGACTCCTTCCCTTTGCTTTCCTCACCCAAGCCAGGCCCACAAGCCCCGCCCAGCCTCGGCTGCCAATCACTCGGGAAGACAGGCGGGCCCCTCCCTCCCTCCCTCCCCCCCCCCTCAGACACGCATTGCCCCCCTTGGAGCAGTAGGCCGCGGCTCCTCAGGCTCACCTCCTGGGCGCAAAGAGGAGTGGGCGAGGAGGAGGAGGAGGAGGAGAGGCACGCCGAGGTGGGTTCCAACAGGCGGAAGGACTGGCTGACTGAATGGCTTCCCCAAAGAGCCGCCTCCCTCCGCTACAGAAGGCAGGCCTGCCTCTCTCTCTCTCTCTCTCGGCCTGGCACAAAATGGCGCCGGCCTTCTTCTTCTCCCCTCAGCGTGGCCCCGCCCACCGTCCTTCCCTCACTCCGCGCTCTCCCGCCCATCCTCCTGAGGGCCAATCAGGGCGCGGCTCTGCCCTGGAGACTGCCCCGCGGCCCCGCCCCCTCCACTCTGGCCTGGCTTCGGCCTCCTCAGCTGGCACAAAATGGCGCCCGCTTCTTCTCCCCTCAGCGTGGCCCCGCCCACCGTCCTTCCCTCACTCCGCGCTTTCCCGCCCATCCTCCTGAGGGCCAATCAGGGCGCGGCTCTGGCCCTCCAGGCTGCCCCTGGCCCCGCCCCCTCCGCCCTGGCCTGGCTTCCGCCTCCTCAGCCGGCCCAACATCGACACAAAATGGCGCCCGCTTCTTCTCCCCTCAGCGTGGCCCCGCCCACCGCCCTTCCCTCACTCCGCGCTCTCCCGCCCATCCTCCTGAGGGCCAATCAGGATGCAGCTCTGGCCCTGGAGACTGCCCCGTGGCCCCGCCCCCTCCGCCCTGGGCCTGGCTTCCTGCCGAGAGAGAGAGAGAGGGCCCATCGCCATTCTCATTCCCCCTCACACCCCGGGGAGCAGGTGGAGGAGGAGCCGTCCTTTTCCTTTGAAGGTTCCGGGCGGACTACAACTCCCATCATCACGCCAGATGAACTCCCGGGAGGAAGCGCCCCCCTCAGAGTAGGGCAAAGGACCTCCGGAGGCGTCCGTCCTGAGTGGGGCCCTCTCTCTCTCTCTCTCTCCAGGGAGGACTACCACTCCCATCGCGGTGGGCCACTCCCTCCAAGGCCCCCCACTACGTGCAGGTGGGCCTGGGCTTCTGTCTGCCAGGTGAGGCCCAGGCCCGGCATGGGAGGGGTCCCCAGTGCCCTCTGGGTGCAGGTGGACTAGACCTCCCAGCAACCCCAACTCACAGGCGCCAAGGCCAATCCTGCCTCAAACCCACCAGGATCAGAAATGTGGCCTATCGGGCATGCATGCCGAATTTGGTGTAGATCCGTCGTCGTCGTTTGCGTTCACAGGGCTCCTGTGAGCAGGAGAACTATACATCCCAGCAACCCCAACTCACAGGTGCCAAGGCCAATCCCACCACTATCGGAATTGTGGCCTACCGGGAATGCGTGCCGAATGTGGTGCAGATCCATCGTTGCTGTTTGTGTTCACAGGGCTCTCTGGGTGCAGGTGGACTATACATCCCAGCAACCCTAACTCACAGGCGCCAAGGCCAATCCCACCCCAAACCCACCAGTATCGGAATTGTGGTCTATGGGGCATGCGTGCCAAATGTGGTGCAGATCCATCTTTGCTGTTTGCATCCACAGGGCTCTCTGGGTGCAGGTGGACTATACATCCCAGCAACCCCAACTCACAGGTGCCAAGGCCAATCCCACCCCAAACCCACCAGTATCGGAATTGTGGCCTACCGGGAATGCGTGCCGAACTTGGTGCAGATCCATCGTTGCTGTTTGTGTTCACAGGGCTCTCTGGGTGCAGGTGGACTATACATCCCAGCAACCCCAACTCACAAACACCAAGGCCAATCCCGCCCCAAACCCACCAGTATTGGAAATTGGGCCTGCTGCGCATGCGTGCCGAATGTGGTGCAGGTCCCTCCTCCAGCGCTTCACAACCAACTCCTCGGTAAACCAGGGAGTCGGTGTGATTCTGCGCAATGAGAGGGGCCGTTCGGGAGCGATCACGTCAATCGCCCTAGACATCTCGCTATTATAGCGATCAACGAGGGCATCAACAGGATCGTCAGTCTCCAGGACAGGAAGATCTCCAAGGGACCTCAGGAGTCCTTCTGGATCCATCAGCCTCCTGGGGCGGACCATCTTAATGGGTCCACCACCCCTGCGGAGGTTGGCGGGTGCGGTTAATCTTAAACTGATCAGATGATGGTCAGACCATGACAATGGAAGGATGTTTTGTTCTTCCACTCTGACTGTTCCACTGTCCACAATGAAAACAAGATCCAGCGTGTGTCCCGCCTGATGTGCGGGACCAGATATTACTTGAGTCAGCCCCATGGTCGTCATGGCAACCATGAAATCCTGAGCTCCGCCTGTCAATGTGGTCTCGGCATGGATGTTGAAGTCTCCCAAAACCAAAAGTTGTGGGGAGGCCAGGGCCGAATTTGAGACCACCTCCGCTAGCTGAGATAGGGAAACTGCTGGGTCGCGGGGTAGACGGTACACCAGCAGGATCCCCAGGCTGTCTCGGGTTCCCACCTTCAGGTAGACACATTCAAACCTCGGAGATTGCGGAACAGTGCATCTGATCAGGGCAATGGTCTGCCGGAAGATCACCGCAACCCCTCCTCCCCGCCCCCCAGACCTAGCCTGCTGATGCACCCTGAAGCCCGGAGGACACAGCTGGGTGAGGTTTACCCCGCACACCCCCCCCCCCCCAGCTCGTCCAGCCAGGTCTCGGTGATGCATGCCAGATCCGCCGCCTCATCTAGGATCAAGTCCCTTTTTTTTTTAAACAAAGTATTATTTATTTCCCATGTAGATATGAGCATGTACAGCCACAGATGTCCTCCTGGAGAAATTCCTTAGGCTCCGCACATGAAGCCAAAGCTCGGCTGTTGTCTCAGTAGACTGGCATTTAATCCAACTTGACGAAGCTGATGTCCTTGGCGTACTGGCGGAAGCACATGTTGAGCCCATACTTGCGGATCAGGTCGTGGCGGTTCGAGCATACGTGGCAGGAGCGCGACCCCTGCTCGAACTTAGAGCTGCTGGTGGCCCATGGCAGGAGGAGGCGGAGGGAGCGAGGCAGCTCAGGCTCCAAAGGAAGGAAAAGAAATGACAGATGTTGTACTATTGACGGATCTGGCATTTAGCAGCAGGATCTTGAGTCTTTCCCCGAAGGCTGGACTGATCAAAACTATATTTTAAAGCAGGGGTCCTCAAACTTTTTAAACCGAGGGCCAGGTCACAATCCTTCATACTGTTGGAGGGCCGGGTTATAATGTGAATAAAACATGAATGAATTCCTATGCACACTGCACATATCTTATTTGTAGTGCAAAAACACTTAAAAACAATACAATAATTAAAATTAAGAACAATTTTAACAAATATATTTGTTTTTAACAAGTATTTCAATGGGAAGTGTGGACCTGCTTTTGGCTGATGAGATAGGGTTGTTGTTGTTGTGTGCTATCAAGCCACTTCAGACTTAGGTTGATCCTGAGCAAGGCCAGGTAAATGACCTTGGAGGGCCGTATTCGGGCCCCGGGCTTTAGTTTGAGGACCCCCATTCTAAAGGAATTAGTCAGCTCTTCAGAACTGGAGAGCCACCTAATGAGTTTATTTTACTGGAGGAGGAAATCTCCACAGAGGACAGGGAAAAAGAATAATCTGATATAGTGAGGGGGCTGAACAGTGGGAACGTGATCCTTCAGAATCTGTGTTGATCCAGAGTCTGGAGAACAAGCCCTATGAGGAGCGGCTTCAAGAGCTGGGCATGTTTAGCCTTCAGAAGAGAAGGCTGAGAGGAGACAGGATGAGAGCCAAGGATCAAGAGGGGAGGGGAATATGTCACAGGGAGAAGGGAGCAGGCTTCCTTTCCGCTGCCCTGGAGACTAGGACGCAATGGAACAATGGCTTCAAACTACAGGAAAGGAGATTCCACCCGAACATGAGGAAGACGCATGGCTCAAAAGCAGTATGTGTGAAAAAGATCTTGGGGTCCTCATGGACAACAAGTTAAACATGAGCCCACAATATGATATGGTGGCAAAAAAGCCAATGGCCTGCATCAATAGAAGTCTAGTGTCTAGATCTAGAGAAGTCCTGCTCCCAATGCTCTCTTCTGCCTTGGTTAGACCACACCTGGAATCACATTGTGTCCAATTCTGGGCACCACAATTCAAGAGAGATGTTGACAAGCTGGAATGTGTCCAGAGGAGGGTGACTAAAATGATCAAGGGTCTGCAGAACAAGCCCTATGAGGAGCGGCTTAAGGAGCTGGGCATGTTTAGCCTGAAGAAGAGAAGGCAGTGAGGAGACATGATGAGAGCCGTGTATAAATATGTGAGAGGCAGTCATAGGGAGGAGGGAGCAAACTTGTTTTCTTCTGCCCTGGAGACTAGGACGCAATAGAACAATGGCTTCAAACTACAAGAAAGGAGATTCCATCTGAACATTAGGAAGAACTTCCTGACTGTGAGACCCGTTCAGCAGTGGAACTCTCTGCCCTGGAGGGAGTGTGGTGGGGGCTCCTCCTTTGGAAGCTTTCAAACAGAGGCTGGATGGCCATCTGTTGGGGGTGCTTTGAATGCGATTTTCCTGCTTGGCAGAATGGGGTTGGACTGCATGGCCCATGACGTCTCTTCCAACTCTAGGATTCCTGACTGCGGGGGGGGGGGGGGGGCATTGTTCAGCAGTGTAACTCACTCTCTCTGTCCCGGAGGGAGTGTGGTGGAGGGGGGCTCCTTCTTTGGAGGCTTTGCTTAAAGGCTGGATGGCCATCTGTTGGGGTGCTTTGAATGCAATTTTCCTGCTTCTTGGCAGTATGGGGTTGGACTGGATGGCCCACCAGGTCGATTATTTCTTTTAACTTTTTATATTGCCCCTCCTTTCTCTAAATAACCAAATAATAACAGTATTGATGCCTGTAAAAAGGATTCTTACTAACAGTCCCAAACACTGCTCACCAATTCTAAAAGACTATTTAAATTCAATTACTTGTATGGAGGCTGTTTAGGATTTGCCACCAAACTCTGTGTTCTGAGGTAATTTTCGGTGATCACTGGCTACCACCACACTTTAAAGGAATGTTTAGCTTTTGGTTTGACAAGAGCTTTTTAATAGCTTGAATGTGCTGGGTTTGCACTCAGGGCTCTGACCTGAGATTCCTTTAAATAAACGCTGCCACCAATCTTAAAATTCTGTTTCTCCAAACTGCTATG